GAGAGAATCATCTACTACGGTAAACCAGTGCGATTCTCTCTTCCTTCCCTCTTTCTTTCTTCTTCATCTTTCCATCTTCGTTGAACTATCTTTTTTTTCTTACCTCAACTTTGTCGTCATCGCCAGTTTCTATCCTTCCCCCTCACATCTTGATTCTTTTTCCCCTTCATCTATAGGTATACGCTTGGGCGATAATAACCGACGAACCAACGGCGCAAATCTTCAATCTCGTCTGGCAAATGGCCGATCTCGAGACGCGCGGTACCTTTGCCAGACGGGACAAAAGAAGAAGAGGTCCTTCCGTACATGTCCATAACTGTGAGCCGTGGAAATTTTCCGCTGGATAAAGGCCATATTGTTTGTCCGTATGGAGCTCCTGTTGTACGTTGTTTTCTTTTTTCTTTATTCATCTTTTTTTCGCGCATTTTGCCGTTCCTCGTTTTCCTTCGACTGCGTTCGACGTCGTACTCATCGTTTACTCTCCATTCCGCATTCGAGCAAGAATCTGCTCGGAGAGGAGAGATTTATAAGCGATGACACGTGAAAGTAGTCCATTTGCATCTCGCAAGCCGGTGAGCGTGGCAGCATATCGATTGCGCGTGAAGTATTTTCCTCGATTTTTAAGACGCCAGCGCGCTATTTCATACCGCGACCTTATAGAAAGTTCGCACTGGACAAATTGAGATTTTTCCTGAGCGAATAATACCCGGTATTAGGCAGCTTTCGAGAAGAGAAATTCCGAGAAAAAAACGATAGATCTCACGACTTTAAAATAGAAAGCGTATCTATATTTTTATTCTACACGTCTTTGACATTTACATGACTCTGTATAAAAGATATATCATGTTTCGAATAATGTATTTCGATTTATCCTGCTGAGAAAAAGTTATCATAAGAAAAAAAAAATAACATGGTGAAGTGTTATTTCATTATTCGGTGAAGGATGCGTTGCTACAAGAGTTTATTTAAACACTCTCTTCGCCCTCACGAATTCCTCCGGTTCTCCGTTTCCAATTTCGCGCATCGTCCTCGACAATATCATCGCAATCGCGTCGCGCCAATATTGCAATCCCTTAGGTTCGAGGAATACAATTTGTGCGATCAATAAGGAAACCGTCAAAGCGGAAGCGCTTCCCTGCGCTGCGAAGCTGGCTTTAAAACGACAAGGATGTTCCGTGGGAAGAAACAATGTTGTTGGATGGTCTTATCTCTCGCTTTCCGTCTTTCTCGCCTCCCTTTTCTTCCTTCTCAACCTGTTATTCTTTGTCTTCTAAACATACGACGCTGCAGGTAAACGTTGAACCAACATTGTAAATCTCCGGTGTTGTTTGGAAGCCGACTAGATCCTAGAATCCACCTGTATTGTCACGTAAAACGAGAGGAAAAAGATGTTTGAGCGTTTAAAATGTCGGATGTATCGGAACTGTTAGAATATCTAGTGAAATAGATGAAGCTTCGACGATTTTCTGATGTGCGCTTTTATCGGGTATTCGATAGATTCAAATATTTTGCATAGCACTTTTTTAACACCTTCCCATCTATCTTTCACGGTGGATGAATTAACCATAAGTTTTTTTTATCATAGTTAAATGTTTTTCAATTGACATTATATCTAACGTTATAAGAGAAAAATTAAATTTTTTATTTATATATTTGGGAACGCGATATTAATATTTGCTGTATGCATTCGAGGAAATAATAGAAATTTTTACATGTTGTTCCATTTAAAACACAATTTCGAATCGGAAAATCGTGATTTTATTATTATGAATGAGTTACTCTCTAAAACTTTTAGAGTGAATTGTTACTCTGAAATGTCACTCAAAGATTGAATCACTTTTTTTCAAGACTGACTTAATTTTTATTCTTTGAGTGACATTTTACTCCAAAAAATTTAAAGAGTAAATAATTATTATCCTATTAATCATGAAAAATGAAACTAACTTGACTTTATGAAAAATAGTTAAGATCATAATTCAAAAATAATCAATTTTTAAGGATTGTTAAAATAATAAACAGAACAAAAAAATGATTAATTACGTTCAGGATATATTCTTTTTGTCGATGTTATTTAATTAGTCAATTTTCTGTCAAGTTGAAAAATAGTTTTTTCTGAGCAACTAAATTTCTTGAGTTGTGTCACTTTTGAAGCAAGTGAGCGATACACTTCTATTTGCATTATATCAGGTTGCATTTTATTTTTTCTTCCTTTTTTTATATTTATAGATATGGCATGATAAATATGGAGCAAGACAAGATCTTTTTTTAATCTTGGTCATGCCATCTTGCTTGTTGTACGACAATGAAAAGCATGAGGTAATTTTCATGTTCATTTATAATGTATAATGTTGGAGGAAAAGCAGAAAATGCAATATTAATGACTTGTCACGAGTTGCGGTTTAAACTCATTGTGCTTCGAAAGCCATAAAAATCTTTTTTTTCCATGAAAATATTACGACAGCGAGATCAGCTCTCTGAAATGAAATTAGCTTTCCATTTCCAAGTTCTACCGTCAGTTTCTCGCTTGTAGTTCTGGCAGATGTTATCTCAAATTTTAATTGGACTTTATTATCGTCTTAATTATTCGCTGCATTAGTTAGTAAGAAAATAATTTATGTCGCGCTTCGGATGTCAGAATTACTTACTCGGAAAATGATCCCTGTCTGACTTCAGACATTATTCAGACTATCTACTCTCTCTTTCTTTTTCTCTCTCTTTCTTTCTTTAGATATACATTCAGTGATATTTTTTATACAAGAATGATATGATGCAAAATAAATAATATTTTTTGCCATTACAATTAATACATCGTCAATCATTCTACATAAAATATTTGCTTTAATTGCCGGAAGATTACTTATGCTTTTGACGTTCCTATAGCATTGGATATTTACACGCTACATGATCTTTCAAAGCGAAGCAAAATATGGAGCGTATATTTTGATATCGTCCTGCATCAAAGCCGCAAATCTAACGTCTACTCGGAATCGATGAAACGCTTATAAGTTACGAAGAGAACTAAAAAGATCTTTAAATTCCGCGGTGAAAGCGATGTCGTGAAAGCACCGCACGATATAACAAGTTGCAGTAACCGTCGGTAGCCATGACAAAAAAGAAAAACTTGACATGAAAAAGCTCGTGGTACCCAAATAAAATTGTTCGCCTGTAATCGAGTCCTTGAGAGGAAAAGCTGCGTCGTGGAAAACCTCGAACGCCAATATTCGTCGGTTGTGCATACGTCGCGTTTTCCTTAACAAAACTGCCTAGGTAGAAAATCTCCAGAAAGGCATACAGAAAAATATTATATACGATATTATATATACCATGCTTAATTAAGATTAAATCTTTATTTAATTTTAATTTTTAATTAAATTTTTTGATATTAATTTTGATATTAAATTTTCATCTTTCATATTAAAATATCTTAATGGGCTATTATTCTTAAATTTCCAATAATAAATTTTAAATTTATCGAAGAATTCTCGTTTACGTACATGCACTGAGAGAAAAATGATTGCAATTATCATAATTCAACTATAATTTACAATCATTTTCGATAGCAATTACACTGAAAAAAATTCACTAACTTTTAATACATATTTCTGAATAGTACTGTAAGTAAATACTTACAATAAATAAATATTTATTCGATAAAAAAATGTTAATGATTTTTGTATAAATAAATATATATTTATATCTAGTAAATATTTCCTTAGAACTATTTGAACAACAAATATCTATTAAAATTTTGTTTTGTTTTTTTCTCAGTATAACATATTTTTTTTTATAGAAATATAATTATTATTACTAACAGAATAACAGTAATAACTATAAAATTGGAGGATTCCTAATTATAATTATTTTACTATATGTAATTATATAATCATAAATACCAACCACTTTTCTTTCGGTGTAAAACACATGTCGAATGTCCTCATTTTTCCACAAATTGAGCACACATATCCATCACAACATATCCCCGGCGCGACTCACCGTCGCGCCATATGCGAGAGCTGTTTTTCGTGGAGAACCGCAAAAGTCATCGCCGCAAATGCGTCGCCACGTAAAAAGCTCGAGTGTCACGTTGGCTGGTACTTTCGTCACTACGCTGCGAGACGACGGCGGTGACGAATTCGCGGTGACGGGGATACAACGTGTCAGCGAGATCCGCGGGCGAGAGGAGACGGCGCGGGCAGCGTGCATCACGGGAGAATACGGGCGAATTTAATTTCTACGTAACATTACACCTTAGGAGCCTTATATCAGCGCCATTGTGCGCCTCCGGGGGCGGCCACGGAGAGACACTCGATCGCAGGACTCCATTTGCGGTTTAGCATAATGGAAACCCAACGCGCCCCGGGGGCCGTCCGCGTCCCCTGTCTCTCGACGTCTCGTCCCGTCTCATCCCGCTTTCTACTTCGTTCTCGTATTCTCCCGCTGTTTGCGGCCAACGTAAGAATGGGCGAAAAATAAGTAAACCGGAGGAAACACGGTGGGAAAGATAACTCAGTGTTCTCTCGTTGTACCATTCAACGCCAAACACGGGCCGCTGGCCATTTCCGAGCGAAAGAACGAATCGTTCCGCTTCGCGGCTGAACGCAAGTCTCGGGTTGATGTCTATTCAAAATGTGACTTTGCATGCAGACGTTTGCTGGTGAAAAAGGGGTAGATCTGTCTACGTCTGATATCTCAGATGTTTTATCGATTAACCATTATCACGCCGCGTGATACAAATGCCACGTTCAGTTATGGGATACCTTTTTTACTACTAACTTTACTTTAGCTACTATGCTAATGACACTGGTCGTTCTAGTTCCGAGATATATTTATCACAACATAACGAGTGTCAGAAATGTCCTGGAAATCACTCGGCAAATGTGGCGTCTGCCGCAGCTCGATGGCTCGTCATTCGTCTGACGGGAAATCGACCTTTGCGAGACTCATTTACGTTGACGAAACCGAGCCCGTCGTGTCTTACTTCTTATCTTTTATTCTTACAGGGAGGCTGTGATGAGGGAAGTCGGCTAAGAGGAGCCCGTGTCGCGCAAGCGCCGGTAGAGGAGTGTAGGAAAGATGCCGCTTTCCTTGAGAGTCTTATTAAGCCCGCTGCTGCTTCTAATCATCGCAGGAAGCACCGGCGCCTTCAGCTCCCGGCAAGGAGGTAAGAAACCTTCGTGTTGAACGACGTTTTGTGCCGGCGGGAAGACAATGACGATGATATCAACGACGACGACGACGACGACAACGACGACGACGACGACAGGAACAGCGACGATGGTCGTTATGAATTCCGTCTTTTCGCGGCTATGACGAATTTCCACGAGAATAGTCGCGCGGTTTTACTCTTTCTCCTCTCTGTGAAACTCGTCGCGCTAGACATGCCGTTGTATCCTCGAGTTTTGAAATAGCGCATATTTCCGTCCCCGCGGAGAGCATCCGACTGTCAATTTCACGCTATTTGCACATTCGCCGACAAGCGTGAAAATACGTTATCGCATGTTATTTCTTCGTTTATTTCATGCACCTCTCTATCTGACAATCAGGTTTTGCGTGATGCGTCTTTAGTACAAAAATACTTCAACACAGTTTAATTTTATACTTCAGTTTTTAAACTAAGATATTCAGAAGAAATACAAGTTATATTATAACTCTAGATGCTATCATAATTTTACGTTCAAGTAAAAGAGCGAGGTCATTAAATTATGCCTTTAGTGGTTAGGAGGTTCAATCTACCATGGCCAAAAACTAGAATAACTAGGGATAAGTTTTTAAAAATTTAGTTTTTTCGCTATATAATTAGTTTAGATTAGAGCAGCGTATCACTCCTGGTGATCAGTGGATATTATATATTTTAATATTTTTGTGTTATATTTTTTATTGGCAAGTTACGTAAGTGTTATTAAGCAGACATTGGATTACATATTCCGTATCATTTCAAAATTGAATTTGATAATGTGATTATTTTTTTCTTTCCTTTTAATAATTGTTGTTTATGTTTATAAAAGTGTAGATTACAAATATTTTATAATTAAAAATGTAATGTACAAAAATCTTGTGTTACATTGTGTTCTATTCAATGACACAAATCGACACGAGTATCGTTCTGCCTTTGTTACTCATGAAATGCAAAGAAAGGTAGAACGACATTTATATCACTTTGTGTCACTAAATGGAAAGCACCCACTAAGAGTGGCTTACATCCTTGTGTGTAAAATTTACATATACCTATACGTCAATAGCAATATCACTTAAGGTTAAGACTTCTATTCACTCGTTACTATCTCAGATTGTGACGTCGAAAGCGAGAAAATACACAACAAAAATGTTTGCAAAATATTATAATATATTATAATATGAAATATATTTCAATAAAATAATACAATCGATAAAACCGATTTGTAAAAATATCGATAATTTTCCTTTTGTTTCTTTAATTAATAAATAATCATATCTAAAATGAATTATACACAACTAAAGATGAAATAAGTTATGGATCGCAGCTATGACAAATTGTCAAATTAATAGTATATAGAAATAAATTTTTCTCAGAGTTTTTGGTATATTTTCCCTCAATCTATTCTATCGTAAATGTTGTTTTATTGAAAAATATTTCTGTTCAAATGTAATTCGCGAGAATTTTGATTGTGTGCTTTCTCGCTTTTGACGTTGCAATTTTAAATAGTACTTCTGAGACAGAACAGTAACCTTAATATCGATGTATCACTTAACATCGTTCTAGAATTTAAATAAGTTCATTTAAGAGGGAAGGTATCTCTTTCCGGATATATTTGAAGTATTGTATGCACGATACCTATGTGTAGATCGATTTTTATATATTTTTCTTCGAAAACATGCGAATCCCGATGAAATCACAGTACGCGATAAGGTAAACCATCTGCAGAAGATACTTGGCGCGGCGTACATTTTAGCAGAAAGAGGAAACATATTGCATTTCCGATCTCTTAGCCACTTGTAACTTTGCACGTACGTGGACTTATTTCGAGGATCGCGGTTACTCAGCCTCGCGTATGTTGACAAAAGGATATGCGCGCGTATGTGCACCACTCAGGACAACGATATAAGCAAAATATTTCCACACCTTTCATCTTCAGCCAGTATCATCCATTTCTCTCATCTTTCCTCCCCCCCCCCCCTCTTTTCTGTCTCTATTTCTCTGTCTGTGTTTCTCGCCTTCATTCCAGCCATGTCTCTTCTCTGGCTGCATTTGTAGAGAGAACGCCTCTTAGTGACCATTTCCTAGATTAAGGTCACCTGGAAAGCAAATAGTTGTTAGGAAGTAGAGACAGAGAAAGATAGAACGAAAGAGAGGAGAGGAGAGGAACTTAGAGTAGAGTCTCACGGACGACGAACTTCCGGTGTATACGTTCCTGGAAAACTATTATGCGCGAAGGTCCGCTGCATCCGAGAGAAACTCGGCGCACTAGAATGTACGAGCGAGCGCTGGACAAATTGTCCTACGATCCTCGCGACTCGCCAATGACGGTAAATCCTTCGTTGCACTCCGGAGAATGTGTTCGATCGATACGATGTCGCGCGCGCGGATCAGTGGTTTCCAACCTTTTTCAAGATGCACGCTCTCTCGGGTGATAAATACTCTGAAGGCGCAGTCGTTCATTATACTTATCGTTAATTCGAACTACTCATTCTACTCATTCATATAGTATTCTACAGTACGAACTAAAAATTTCCTTCTTTTTTAAGGCTGTATAAACCTCTGTAAAAAGTGACTGCAATTAGAAACTTATACTTTGGATATAAAAAATGAATAATGAATGTTACATATAAAACAGTTCAATCAATTTGGTATTTAACGATATAATTTTAGTTTAAATTTTCTTATTTTATTTTAATGATTTTTTTTTAAACATTCTACTTCTAAAAACATTTACTTCTTATTGAAATAATACTTGCTGCAAGTTCTAAATAGCCTCCAAACTATTTATATTACTTTCAAATACAATGTAGAAAAATTTGTCATTTTTTCATAATCTTTTCATTTTGTTAAAAAATACATGTAATTTTTATCTGTAAGTAAACGTTTAAAGGAAAATAATAAATTAATAAAAACAGAAACTTGTAACAAAGAACCACTGGTAATTTTCATTTAGATATCAATGAAATTAATACTTAACATTAAAATTTTCTAAAGATTATGTCTTTTGAAATTTATTGTCAAAGAATTTAATGAATTTTTAACCAAAATTATTGCCATCATATTAAAATCAGATAGACATTCGAAGATTATTCACGTTATCGGTACAATTGCTTGAGGATATGAATCTTCGACTGCCAACTTCATATCGTGAACGCAATCCACAAATGTTTTTTTCATATTTACTTGATTATAAATTAAGTAAACTTCGCCTGCAGCGTTTGCTTTTAGATTGTTGTACGAAAACATGGAAATATATATCTGCAATCGCTGTTTGGTATCTCAAATAGCTCCGAAAATATTTGTCTGTTATAATTTTTACATAAAAGTTACTCTTTTTGAAGAAATATTGAATTTAAAAAAACGTAAATCGTACACATTTTAAAATTGATTTACAATATTGAAGAAATAAAATTGATTACGCGAATAGACCGGCAGGCAAACAGATTTAAAAGTCTTTGAAACTAATAATCAAACATCGAACTTTACTCTTTAAATTTCTTGGACATTCATTCTAAAGGAAAGAAATCTCACTTCTTTTTTGGGATGTGTCTCCGAAAGTGTGAAATCTCATTCCAAAAATGAGTAAAAATCTGCTACGCTTATTCAAGAGTACAAATTTTTCACTTTTTTTTTTAACAGTAGCAGTATTTTTTACTCTTTTTCTAGAGATTTCATTCCAAGAAATTTAGAGAGTAATTCTCTTATCCATCGTTTCGGTCGTTGACATACTTAACGATGGCGATCAACAAATCGGATATGCAAACATGTTTTCGTCTTTATATTCATGAACACAAACGCGCGATTTTCTAGAAAAGTTATTCGACTTACATGCGACTTACATCCGATTCTACATTCGGGTCAAAACCCTAGCGCAGCTATTCTCATAATCTAGATAGGGCTCGCTCTTATGGAACGATGTTGATTAGTTGGAAATTTATGCGCCCTCGCATCGATGTTGACATCCGGCGGCAAATTTGTGGTTGTCGCTTCAGAGGAGAGAAAACGCCAGTGGTCGAAGATGAATTTGATCATCCTAATCGTGACGCGAACAAGGTTATCTGATCGAATTTTAACGGAGGCTTCGCGTGATTCCCGGCCGATGACACGACTGCAACGAGTCGAAGCGGCTTCGTCGCTCGATGAAATGCTTGTAGATACTTGTATGGTGCGGATGTACGTTCGAGCGTGTTTCTGCTTAGCGAAGCAACGTGGCGACGACAACGACGACGACAACGACATAGACGATCTCGAGTGACGAATTTACAGCGTATAAACACGTTGTCCTAGTTATCTCGCTTGTACTTTCGCGGAGTCTCCTATCTTTTTATTACGTTTCCTCTCTCGCTATTTGTCGCCTTTTTCTCCATCTGACGTCGCTGCTGCCTTATCTTAATATTAGCAAATTTAAGGAAACACGCGTTCCGCCGTGATTACTTTTGAGTACCATAAAGGCTGCATGTCGGAAGAAAATTTTACAACTTGTACCAATGAATACTCGACACCTTTTATAGATATATTATGAAAATCACGTAAATTCTAATAAGATAAATGTAAAGATAAGTTATATTTATTTTAATTACTGTCTAACTAATATTGGACGAATTTATTTACATTTGGAGATCTTTATTTATTTTTCTCAATTTTACTTTAGTTCCGTATATGGAGCTTGAATTTATTCCGACAAAAATTCGCGATTTTAAATGTGGTCAAAGTTTAGAATTTCCATTTTGTTTATTTTTTGCATTTATATCATATTTATAAATATCAGTCTCCTGACAATTTTATATTCTTGATCTCATTTTATATTTAACAGGGATTTTTTTATATCTCGTTTTGAAATACAAATATTTTATGTATTTTATCTTATATATTGGCAACTGTATAATTTTTATATTTCTGATTTCGATTATATTTCTGATCGTTAATGTTTCAAGAAAATCTATAACGGAAAAGAGACGTCCCGATTATATATCTCGATATATACA